TATATTTTAATTTTTCAAATTTATTATATTATATACATACAATATATATAAAATTATCAATAGAGTTGTATCCTAAATTTCGAGATGAAGTATACATTATCTAAATAGTAGACTTAATATAAATTAATATTATACACTATGTATTTACGTTTATACTTCAATTTTAAAGACATTTCATTTTTAAAAATTTCAAATTTTTATCATTCAATAATTTCGCATTTATTAATTAATGCTTTTCGTTAAAAGAAATGATCATTGATGATTTACTGATTTATTAATTTTCCGAAACGCAATTTATGAAATGTCATGTATCTAACATAATCATAAATAACAAATTGTTTTCATTGCGTGTACGTTGCAGCTTACAATTAGATATACTGAAATTATTACTTATTTAAATTATTACTTCAAAGGTATGCTGCAATTATTGCCGATTATAGTATCGTGTTTACGTGTTAATTGCAATTGCAAGTCTCATGCAAATAATATAACGTTAAAAAATATTCTTGAAACTAATTGACCGACTTCAATAATTTCTTTTAAATAATTACCATTAAATTCATTTTTTTTCAAACGCAATTATTTTCATTTCGCTGATGTTTGTCTCGAATCATTTCTATTCTTAGAAGAATCCAATAAAAATTTATGTCATATCCATTTCATTAATGCCATACACGCCCCTATTTTCTATTAATGCACAACTCCTACGATTAGATTAGAGTATTACAAATTATATATGGAATGCATTTCAATATAAAAAAAAGGACTTTACTGATTTTTCGGTAAATCATTTACATTGAAATATGTCGGAATTCTTCTCGTATTGTGTATGCGCTTGCAAACTTCATATAAATGTCGCAAAATTATACGATGCGCGCACGTAAAAGATGAAATTACAATTCATTGTGTAATAATAAGAATAATAATAATGACAATATCTGCAATCGTGTGTAAGTATTTTTAGATTGTATATGTGTTATAATGTCTCTCTTCTACATGCCGATATCCTGAATGATAAAGTACAATCATAATTGGGGAAAATACAGGGTATAAAAATATGTGGCCACAAATAGTATCGCATGATGCAGAAGCACGTCTAGATATTATCGAGAAAAGATTTCAATTTCCTTATTAATATGGCGTGTTACATCCGTGTTAACAGATTAATCGTACATCAATGAAAATTCACGCAATACCGGATACAGAGTAATCTTACAATTAGACTTTTGAGGATACCGACGCACGTAATAATTTGTCTGTCAAATTAAGAAAATTGCTATGCCGTTCTCTTAAAAAAAGGTTTAATTATCATGTTATACTTATGATATTCTTCCTTTTCTTTTTCGAAAATTCTTTTCCGCTTTATAAATAGTTTTGACAAAATGATACAAATCAAACCTCAAGAATTTTATATTAATATAATATAATTTAAAAACTTCAAATGGAGATATAATAATTATTTTAAATATATATGTACAATATTTATATATATAAATATATAAATATTAATCTCTAATTTATGTACAAAAAAATATAATTTTCGAAAAAAAACGGTCTACAGACATCTTGAATCTCTAAT